TTGATATATTTGCTTGTTCTTCAAGCGTTAATTGCTTGTTCGACATGCGTTAATTGCTTGTTCGACATGCGTTAATTGCTTGTTCGACATGCGTTAATTGCTTGTTCGACATGCATTAATTGCTTGTTCGACGTGCGTTAATTGTTTGTTCGACGTGCGTTAAGGGCTTGTTCGACGTGCGTTAATTGCTTGACCGACGTGCGTTAATTGTTTGTTCGACATGCGTTAATTGCTTGTTCGACGTGCGTTCATTGTTTGTTCGACGTGCGTTAAGGGCTTGTTCGACGTGCGTTAATTGCTTGACCGACGTGCGTTAATTGCTTGACCGACGTGCGTTATAATTGCTTGTTCGACGTGCGTTAATTGCTTGTTCGACGTGTTAACTGCTTGCTCGACGTGCGTTAATTGCTTGTTCAGCATACATTAATTGCGTTAATGCGTATTCACCTTTCACCAAACTTTCCACTTCTGGGTACTTTCACAATAACTAACTAATAACTGACAGCAGTCAATGCTCTTCTGAATGCTCGCTATCTGTTTGTGAACATCGTAATAATCGATGAAGATTGATTGCATGCAGCCCATGTAGAAGCAAGCTATCAGCACCGGACGAACATTATCGCTGTCAAACTGTTCCAGCATCTCGCCGTACGCCGTCTTAACGAGTCGAGGAACAACTCGAAATTGCGAATGCACTTGGCGCAGAGCAGGTTGATTTTCCTGACGGCGTGCGGCGACGGCATCGTCTGCTGCTCTTCGACGATCGCCATCTTGATGTCGAGCGTCTCGCCGTACGCCTCAGCGATCTCGTACGTCAGCCCGCCGACAGACGAGTAGGTGGCGGCGCGGGTTGAGCTCGCCGAGCACTCCACGCAGCGTGTTGACGCGCCGCTTGTGCATCTTCGACTTGTGCGCAAAGTCCGGCTTGAAGAACACGAGCATCTTGTAGAGCAGACTGGAGTCGCACGTGAGCTCGGCGTAGTCCGACGCGTGGTCGTAGAGCGAGTAACACTTGTGCACGTCCGCGAGCGAGGGGTCAGTCAACTGGAATGCTCTGGGCAGACCACAGCATCAGTGCTGCTTCAGAGATTCTGGACCCATGGAATCCTACTGGTGACCACTGGATACTGGTGGCCATATCCATGCAGGAGCGACTGATATACTTGGATCCACTGGAGAGCACAGATGCCTCGTCTTCTCCCCCAAGCAAATCAGGCATTCTCCATGATGATAGCTTTCCTGAAAGAGAAAATGAAGATAGATGTGGTAGAATGGACACTGACATGCCCACCACACAGACTCCAGGAGGACTCTTCTAGTTGTGTGTGCCATTATGCTGCGCAACTTCTACAAAACAGATCACTGATGGCAGACACAGATGTGATGCAGCTAAAAAAAAAGAATTTTTGAAGAAGTTATGGGCTGCTGTAAAATTATAGCTACAGCCGAAGAAATAGAAATGTGCTCACGCTGCAATGGTCACAACAAATCGTACAACAGGATATGCTGCGACAAGTGTGAACAATGGCTTCACTGTAAATGCATTGGTATTTCAAAAGAAGAGGCTCAACGTCTACCTGCTTTTTACTGTCCACTTGTGTTATAATAATTATAATTAAACCTGAAATGAAAGCAAATATAGCGTGGAAAACGTGATTTTTATGAATGTTTGCTCAGTGGTGATGAAGTTATCATCAGACCATCCGCTGACCGCTGTGGAGACGTGTGCCGGGCCTCGAATTTGGCGCACGTTTCCACTGCGAACAGCGCTTCATACTTGAACATCCCCGCTGTCGCGTGCGCATATCCCGCGGAACTGCGCGTCTCATCCGCGCGCAGCGCTCAGGATCCACAGCAAAGCTGTGCCACGCAATCTTGTATCATGTCTGCATAATACATGTCTGTCTCTCTGGTTTTCCTTGGCCTGACCAAGACGGCTAACCTAATCCAGTACGTTTTAATACAGTTAAATCAAATTTCCCAACTAGTTTAATGATAGATCACGAAATTTAGTCAGTTAGTGAGGTCACCTAATAGGTAGTTCCTTTTTTTCAGCTTCATTCTATGCAGACAAAGAATTAAAGACCGCTGTGAGAACCACAGTTACTGCACGATGGGCAGCCTTTGCATCCTCTCTGCATCATCGCCATGGTTACTGCATGGCTGTCAGCCTCATCATCATCTCTGCATCATCACGGTCACTGCACGGTTGTCATGGAAACATCTGCATCATCGCCATGGTTACTGCATGGCTGTCAGCCTCATCATCATCTCTGCATCATCACGGTCACTGCACGGTTGTCATGGCAATATCTGCATCATTGCCATGGTTACTGCATGGCTGTCAGCCTCATCATCATCTCTGCATCATAACGGTCACTGCACGGTTTCCACAGCGACCTCGGCATCCTCTCGGCATTGTCGCCACGGTAACTGCACGTGTAGCAGCCTCAGCATCGTCGCCACGGTTACCGCACGTGTAGCAGCTTCAGCATCGTC